TTTGCGGACCAGACAGAGCTGTCGGCGATTCTTCCTATTGTGAAGTCATGCAGTGTGAAACCCCCTGTCGCCGATTCATCGTGCAATGTGAACACAGCAGCAACTGAATGCTACCCCAGATAGTCACGCAGTGTGAAAACAACGGCGATCCGACGAGTTTGAAAATCGTGCAGTGTGAACTCGGCATAAATCCACACTATCTCTAAAACTGCTTCGGAGTGGTATTTGAGGCTAAGCATATCCCTGTCAGACTCTGTTCCATGCTTTGTGTGCGTCTTGCTCCCCATGTGCCTTCCTATGCCCTTATTTGGTTAGTTTCTTGTTCGTGTCCTGATTAAGTTCATTTGTCCCAGGTGTTTCCCTTGATGTTTCATTGCTCCCAGGTGTGTCTCGTCATCCCCTCCTCCTGTGTGTATAAATAGTGTTCCCTTTGTGTGCTCCAGCATCCGATATTGTATGTTCATGTCATGTCTCCATGTATTGCGTGAGTGTTCCGTGTTCCTTTGTGTAAATTAAAACCCAGTTGGATTGATGTACTCCTTGTCTCTCTCCGTTCCTTGCTCCTGACTCCGCTCAGCAGTGCACCTGTGACAATCCCATCATTCATCATGTTCACAAACTCATGTGCCCCGAAATCACAAGATGTTAAGGAAGATCTTTGCAGTCTAAGTTAACTTAATTAATTATCACATAGAATTTGTTAAATGTATAGTGTTTCTGTTGGTGTAGAAAACGTTTTGCAAATGTTTGCGGCTGCTTTCTATCACTTAATTAGAAGCGCCACAATTAAATTGTGTCATACATGGGGACTACTGAACAAAGATTTAGAAATTGATTTTAAAGTGTTAAATGTATAAATGTGTAAATTTAAGCTCTGGGGCTACACGGCTCAGACTCCGGCAACTGCAGAGCTTGGTTCACCATGGGCTTCAGCAGTTAGCAGCACTCTTGGTGGTCTTCAGCTCTGCCTACTTTGCCCTGGCCTCCTGATCTGTCGGCTCCACCCTGGTGGTCTTCAGCTCCGCCTGTTCTGCCGGCTCCGCTCTGGCTTCCTGCTCCACCTTGGTTTTCAGACCTTGTTCATTCTTATGGCCTGGCCCTCCATCCCTCTCCCATTCCCCCTCTGCTCCACCACCCTCCTGGACTTTTGTTTTGTGTGTTTGTGGAGCGTCTGGAATCCTTAAAGGGGAGGCTCTGTCACATGTGCTTTGTGTACATCCAGAGAAGATA